GTGGTTGTAGAGCTCTGCCAGGGGAGTGCTGCACAGCAGAGAGAAGCTACTAAAACATACACAAATTTGCTTCCCAGTCTGGTTCTTTGTCTTGTAAATTTTAAATACTAAGATTACCGTTCCAGGATTAGCAGAATCTGTGAGATCTCTAAAAGTGCAGCTTTATAACTCGCTTGAACTCTCCACTGATGGAAGGGGTGAGGAATGCAGAAAGTGTGAATCATCCATCAGGCAAAAAATAATGCCTTGATAATGAAAATTTACAAGAAGTGGCTACTTAGCAAATATTCAAGGTTGTAATGAGTCCTGTTTGGATATATAGATAAAACTCAAAGGAGGGGAAGGTGAGGAAAGTTGAGGCAGGAACTTAAAGCTCACTAGCAGATTTGCTTCAAAGCTCAATTTATTTACGTATCATATTAGGTAGATTAATGCAGAAGATAGGAAAACAGGTGTTCTTTCTCAGCTTTACTCCATGGACCACAATTCTATTTCCTTTCCCCCTTCTGCTGCACTCTCCAGTCAAGAGTATGAGGCCGCGTACTCATCAAAATCCGTAATGAGGCTTTAATACCTGGGCTGAAAGCACTGTGGGAATTGCAGATGTTTTGATGTTTTGGAGTGGATGGAATGATACGAGCCCCCCTGTTGAGCGTCCTTGTCCATCCTGAAATACTAACTTTGAATTTTTTGTCTCAGTTTTGGTGTGTGGGAGTGGGTGTTACATGCTTCTAAATATGAAAACACAGTACGCGTTTAAAAAGAAATATATATTATTCATTTCTTCCTAACGGAATACTAGAGTCTTACTTTCAACTTCTAGCCACAGATACACAGTTTCCAGTTTAAAAGGCAGGATTTTTCACATGTTGTGATTTTTTCCCTCCCGCTGCCTCCCCTGCTGCTGCCTTTTCCAACCATTAATTGGGTATTCTGTCCTCAGCTGCGGGAGGGGTGGGGGATAGTAAATTAGTGATACGGGGTTGGATTATGGTTTGGGGCCATATTTCTTGGACTGCTAAATTTATTTTTATGAGCATAGAAGTCCAGAAACACCTAGCAGAGATTTTTTTTCGCCCTCTGGGGTAGCTTTTCAGTGTGTAAAGGAAAGTAGTGGCTGTATCAGGAGTTTCCAGTTGGTAGCTTTGTGGTGGAGCTGAAAGAAGAGTGAGCTAGACTCGACTTCTGTCTGTCTGTTATTTATGCTGGATGGGCAGGACTGCCATGGAAATGTCACTCTTAGCTTGACTTTATCTTTTCTGAGCCCTAACAGAGAAATGGGGCCTCCGTGCTTTTAAAAAGGACTTGAACAAAACGGGCTTTTTTGATAGTGAAATTTTTGTCTCTGCATCAACACGGCTCCCAGTAACTTTCATTGAATTAGTTTGAGGGGGCCAGTTGTCTGAGGTGGGCAAATGTAGCGAGTTGCATGCACACAGCTGGTTGTGGGACAGTAACGTAACAAAAGTGCAAGTGGATTAAGCCCTTAAGAGATCAGGGAATTTGTGTGTCCAACTGTATGTGAAGTTGAACTGTTGGTTAGGTTCATGTACAAAAAAGGATTGGATTAGAAAAACAAAATGGGAGAAAGGTTTCATATCTCCAGCATCTCTGATCAGTACCGCCTTGCAGGGTTCCATGATAAACCTTAACAATTATGTGAAAGAAAGGTAAACGGCATGTTAGTGACATTCACTAGGGTATTACATACAAGACACTGCAAACGTGAAAATAGTACAGAAATTATACAGGACAAATGAAGATATGAGCAGAATAGAGAGAAAAGCAAACTCACCCTAACAAACAGAAGTAAAAATAACCCACATGCGGTAGGCGACGCCCAGAAGACGGGGCTTGGAAAATAATCTGCATGTGGTTGGAAACAACAGTGAAGTGCGCTGATGATACCAGAAAGCGCTGAAGGCAGTGACTTGTCATTTGGTAGTGTAGCAAATAAAACACGTGATTGTTGACTTTGGGGCTTAGCTCAGTAGCAGAGAGAGAAGCCGCACGGTATGCAGTTACATCTGTTTAGGTCTGTGCTGTTTGCGTCTGTCATAATTTTTGTGCAAGGATAGTGGACTTAGGAGTAAAGGCAGCTGATCACTATTTGAATTGAAAATGGAACTTTTTCTGTATTTCAGATATTTGTTTAGCATTTAAATATGTTTTTTCTCACAATGGTATATTACTCCTTTTACACTCCCTTTTTAAGCTTGCTTAATAGTGTGTTTAGATAGTACCTCCTGAAAATTCAGATCTGATATGTAATTACAGCGTATTTCACATTAATGACTAAATGCTTGTGTGGTGAAGTTTTTGAAAAATACTTGGTTTTTTTCAGTTCGCTACTAAAAATGATGACGACTTTCTTTTAAAGTCAGTGAGAGCTGACATGATGGATCATAAAGATTTGTTTTGAACCCCTGTACTCTGTAACAATAAAAGGGTTGCAAGGAAAGTGTAACTTCATTTTATTTTCTTCACTAGTTGTTATGTCTCCTGTGGAACTGTTTCCATATTATGGTCTATCATGTAAATATTGTTTGGACCATTTTTGGTGTACACAGTACCATAAAACATTAATTATTTATTTTGACAGCTGTTATGATGGACTTTAAAGTCGAGAGACCTCCTGCCTGTCTTGTCAGTCTGTGGTTTAGTGGTGTTAGTTAAAAGTTATATGATTGTTCAAACAGCATTAAAAAAGAATAAATTCCTCTGCTCAAGAACATTGGTCAGTACTAGCTCCAGAGAAGTCTTTTGATAGCCAGTGCTTTTCATAATTGCCTATTAAAGAATTTCTTGCATCAGCATCATGGAAAGCACATGCAAATGAAGAGGAATGTAGTTTTGGGTGGATATGCCAGGTCCTTTAATCTGAGTTCAGCACTCAAAATTGGTGAAGTAACCAATGGGATTAGAAAGGGCAATGTGTCTTAAGGCCAAACTAGATGAAGGAGGAGTGTCTCTGCCTGAGGAGTAAGTGGTACTGAACTTGTATTTCCCAAACATCATAATCCATATCGCAGCCAGACAACATTCAGCTTCCTTTATTTGCAGGCTTTATGGTTCCCATCATGAAGTCTCTGAGCTGTAATGGGGCTTACAGTGTAATGTTAACGTGTTTTCCCTGGGCAAATATGATAGTGGTGCTTTAAACTTGGTGCTTTAATAACTAGATGTTGGAAGTATGAGGCTTGCTCTCTGTTAACATGAGGTGAGTGACACAATAGGATTGGATCTGGAGGATGATATAGGTAATGATCCCAATGTCTAGGCTATGTTTGCTCGGAGGGTTTTTCTCTTTGGGTTAGCTCTAGTATGATCCTGTGGACCTTAATGCCAGTTAGAGGTTGGAGCACATTAGGTGTGCTCCAGAAACGTATCTTTTGGTTGGTATCTGAAATTAATCCAGCTTGTGTGCTATGAGACTTCTCAGAACCAAACTGCAGTGATGAGGGACAATTACGACGGTTTAGAGACAGGCTTCAAAACGGTACTCAGTGGTAATGTAGACACACCTTAAATACCAAACCAGGTTAGGTGGCACCACTTCCCCCTGTTCTGCTTTGTGGTATGACATAGAAAGGAGAGTAAAGGGTCAGATAAATCAATTTATTATTTCTGTGGGAGACTCCTTTAAATTTTCAGTAGCCGTGTGGTACCTTTATATTAACAGGCCATAATGTGTCTTTCATCATCATTCAGACATAACCAAGGAAGGCTGTTAAAGCACAGCAGTGGTAGTTCCATAATCTTGACAATAGTTAACCAATTTCCTGTAGTTACCAGGCAATGGTTTGAGCGCCATTTATACTCTGCAGTTGTCACGCTGTCTCTTTTTACCCATCTTTTCAGCTGCTGTCCTGTCACTGTTGGAGGGATGTTAAATGCTGTGAGTGTGTTTATGCTAGTAAGTTGTTTTGGTTTGGAGGCTGCTACGCGCTCTTTAGAGATGGAGCAGGGAGAGAAAGAAAAAAAAATGAGTCAGAGCACCTGTTGCTTGGATTTTTTTTTTCTTCGGAGGGAGCCTGTTTCTCTCCACTAGCTGTGTAGGCGATCTCCAAATGTGGGCACCTAAGTCAAAGACTGACTCTCTGAGACAGTCTTCTTGTGTTGTGCTTGTATAGCATCTACCATGATGCCAGCCTACTTATCACTGGGGAAAAACAAATTGGTAATTGTAACTCATGCTGCTCAAGATCCTAGAAAGGTGAAAGGATTTGTTGAAGTAGTTTCTTGTGCTAAGCCTTCCTTGGCATTGTTCACAGGAGTGTTTTGGCTCCAACAGACCAGTCTTTTGGCCTGGGATTTGGCTGTTCTGAAAAGCCACAGCAAAACCAGATGGGTGCAATCATAACCCCTGACGAAAATGTTTATGTGTAATAGTTCCAACAGTTAGGTGTAGGAGTTCCAAGAGGGTGTGTGGCTCTTGTAATGAGTTACGTTGTTCAAATATAAATATCCTCTACTTGAGGAAGCTGTAGGAGTATGATGCCTCCAGATTTGTCTATGAAACACCATGTTCAGAGTTGCCTCTCACTTTCTCTATACTTGAGAAGGCACATCATATTGGTAGTTTAGGCAATTTTTCATTAGTTTATTTTCCTCTAAATGCACAAGCCCATTGAGTTAACGTAGATGGAGCCAAAAAGTAAGCATATTTAAAGTTCTTGCAGTAAAACTGCAGATACCTGTATCCTCATTTTGCCATTGCAGATTTGTGTTTGCTATCAAAGTGCATGTTGTGTCTCCTTGTCCACACAACTCCTCACCTGTGCATGGTGGCTTGAAAAAAGTGAAATTGATATGTTGGTTAAAATCAAAAGTCACACCATACGTTAATGTGATTCCCCTGACTTCCCATTTGGACTGACTTAGAAATTCCTATCATAAGGCAGTTAATAAGCTTTCCAAGTGATTGTGTTTTATGTACCCAAACATTCGTTGGTCTCTCACTCTACCTAAAAATAAAAGTCTCTGATTCTGATTGCTAGAACGCCTCTGATTGCTGCGGGAGTTATTGGTGGCCTCTTCATCATCGTCATTGTGGGCCTGACATTCGCTGTGTATGTTCGGCGCAAAAGCATTAAAAAGAAGAGAGCACTGCGAAGATTCCTGGAGACTGAGGTGAGAGTGTGCTGCTTCTCACATAATATTTGAAAAGATACACAGAGCTGTTCTGCTTTTATATTAAAGATGTTCAGGTCTTCAATCCAATTACCAGACAGGTCAGTAGAAATCCTTTTGCTAACTTCTGCAGGACTGATGGAATGAATGAAGCTATACTAGTTTTCTGCACATACATAGATTCACCACTTTTGAAAACCAAAAAAGGTCCACATGATCACAAAGTCATGTTCCAACAGATTTTTTAACTCCCATCCTGCTCTCAACTGAACTTCTATCCCAGTTCATCATGAGTATATTTAGCAGCTCTCATGCTTAAATACAGCTTTTCATCCAGTGCATACTGAGGTCAGCTTTGAATACTGAAGTAAGTTCCTTCAGCAAGCTCTGATGCAAACTTCAGCTCATCAAGAATGCTGAAATGCAGACATTGTCACTTACCGTTGCTCCCACTGCCTGCATTGCCTTTGTGGTGCAGAGTTTGTCAAAGCCTGTAGTTACAATCAGTAATGATGTATTTTATTAAGCCAAGATACTTCCCAGAGCTTAACCAAATTAAGTTCCCAGTTCTACTGGCAAAAATACGTAGTGGAGCTATAGGAAATAGTGCTGTGCCCACTCCATCTTGCTCTTTGAAATGCCGAGGGGGATCTAGGCAGTGTATTTAAACATAACATTAAGTCTTTATCTGTCAGCTACAGCAATGGTGATTACTGCCATCTCCTCAGTCCTATACTTGAGACACTTCGCAAGTGATACTTTTAAATTAGAGTCCCCCTTGTAAGATAATGAAGTTTGGGAATATTCTAGTGATTCTTTGATAAAGCTTTGTTAAGAATGCTGTTTTCTTTTCTGTTCCAAGGGTTCTGCTCCTGCTCATCTCCACTGTAAAGCCTAGGAGCAAATGATTTATGCATCCCCAATCTGTTTGCCTAAGTGTCTTTTATGCTTGGCCAGAATTTGTGTTGCTTGTTAAATACTGTTTGGTTTTATAGTAAGCTTAACAATACTCAGTGCTTTTGGATACGTAAATCTTGCCATTGTATGAGCCCCTACTTAAGCATAAACAATTTTAAGCAGGTAGTTTTCATTGGATTTGAGAAGTATTGGCTTTGAAGTCCAGCTCTCATTCTCCATTTGGTCAGATAAAAGCTGTGGCTGACGGCAGCTCCTGAGGGACCAAGGTCTCCTACTGAACATGTGGGGAAGCTGTTGTCTTGGCTTAGAAACTGAAGATTAAATCAGGAGCATCCTGAGATGAACACACAAGCGACTATAGCTTCAGCTGAAGTCACTGTTTCCAGCTGGAGGCTGTAACAGACCTACTCTTTCTGTAGGTCATTCTCAGTAAAACTCTACAAGAATTTTTTTAGACCGCCACAACACTTCTCCCTGCCATATCTGTGCTGGTGGACTGTGGCACAGAAGCTGTTTTCGCCCTTCACAAACTGAAAATACAGAAGTGTACTGCTAGTCTGTCCACTTTTCTTTTACAGTGAACCTTCTTCCTTTCACCATGTAAGTACTGGGCATCTAAAGTGGGAAGGAGGAAAGAGAAATCACTCTGAAAAAAGTACAGTTCACGATTTATTTCTGTGATAACCTGACTTGTTGCTGTTTGGTTTTGTTATGTTTTCCTACTCCAATAATTTCCAGATACCGGTGTTTTTAACCTGAACCAAAGTAGCCTGGTCTACTAACTAAGTAGCTCACGATGCTCAAAGAGCCATGGATGTATTTCTCAAACTGCAGAGCATGGTGCATTTAGTCTTGTAAACAGACAACTTTGAAATACTGCAGTGGTTTCAAACCAATTTGAATAGGAGTAGCCCTGAATTATTTTCCTCATCCTGTAAAGGAACAGACTATTTTTCGTTGTTTAGAGTATTGTCCTTTTCATGTATTTTTAATTTACTTTTAAAGCAGCATTGTTTTTCTAGCAGAGATGGTATAACATTTGGATCTGAGAGCATTTTTAACTGAGTGTGCCATCGTGGCTCATTTACAGAGTTTCTGGGGACATCTTGAGCAAATTAAAATTGTGCTTTTTTTTGCAGTAAAGTAGTGGCTGTTACAAATTAGTGGTCTGCTATAAGATGTTTTCTCCTTAAAGCTGTCCTTCTGTGTGGTATAACAGTTGTTCAGAAAAACAGTCCCTTCCCCAAAAAAGAGTAAGAACGTGATAATCCCTTAAGTCAGGGCTATTAAAAAGAAGTATGGCCAACTTAAAAGACACTAAAATGGGCAAAAATAGAATGTGGTGCACTGATAATAAATGATGTACTTCTGTCATGTAGAAAATATTTATACTGCCTCCATTAGCCAAAGTCCTTGGGTGTGTTACTGTGACGCCAATTCAATTTCCAGTTCATAATTCCATCATGCAATTCCTGGTGGAAATCACTACATGTTGAGCGAGGATTTTCTTTATCAGGTCTCTTTGTTTGTTAGCGTTACTCATTTGCTTTTGAAGGTGAGCAATCCCTCCACAAGTTGGCAGGTCAATAGATGCCACCACTGTCTTATTCCAGTGTTTAGTTGGATTGGATGTGTTCAGTACAAACTTCTGATCGGTGTTCGCATTTTCAAATATTTAAGACTGTTGAATTTTCTTTCATAGCTTGTGGAACCCTTGACTCCAAGTGGCACAGCACCCAACCAAGCACAGCTTCGTATCCTGAAGGAAACTGAGCTGAAACGAGTCAAGGTTCTTGGCTCTGGAGCCTTTGGAACTGTATATAAGGTAAGACTCTTCACTGTACAGTAGTGAGTTCCCTCATTTAACTTTTAAGCAGTCAAGTTCTGCATTACAGCAAAGCACCCCGTACTGGGGATGGGTTCATGAGCCCTGCATAGCTGGGAAACTCATAGTATGGTGGAATTGTGTGGAAGGAGCCCATCTTCAGGCTCAAACCTTGACTTCAGTTTTAATTAGGCAGGCTCAAATGCTGACTTCAGTTTTTATGAGGCATGCAGATACTATTTCTTGGTGAGAAAAGAAGTGTCAGCCACAGTCTTCCTTGCACGCAACAGGACTACACATCTTGATATTAAAATGCAGTATCAAAGTTCGTAATTCTGTTCTTAAATAATGGCTTTACAGTACATTTTTGGAAAGCGACATAAATTTTGTCTCTCATTTTGCAACTGTCACATAGGTCTTGTAATAGTAGTCATACCTTGTAAAACAACATTGTCGTTAGCTAAACTGCAATAATTTTTGTTTCTTCCATTTAAATAGAAAAGATGAGTTATGTCAATGCACCCTTTAACAACCAGGATTTAAGAGCAGAACCAACAAGGGAAAAAATGCTTCAGTTAGAGATTTTTTTTTTTTTTTTTTTTTTTTAAAAGATCTGTTGGTCATGTCCAAATCTCAAAAGCATGAAGTAGGGCTTAATGAGCAAGTGAAACCAACCACCTGACCCTTTGGGAGCAACTCAGACCTGCCAAATTGAGGTGGTAGGTCAGAGCACTGAAGGAGGATGGATACTGCATCTCTCTTCAAACTGGGGAGGAAATGGAGGAAGTAAAGACCAGGTCACTACAGCTGCAAGGTCATGGGAATACATTTTTGAATAATCAGTTTACATATACTTGGACAATAATAAAGTGATAGAGATGGGTACCATGAGGTTGTCAAGAACACAGCAATAGTCGAGAAGGATGGAAAAGTAGTCCAAGACACACACAGTTTGTGAATTTTAATTTTAAAGTTTACTTTTTAGCCATCTAAGTTCTTAATTCTCAGATATCAATTACTTAGAGAAATAGCCCCTAAATTTTTCACTCTAAATACATTGTTCTCAGGGTATCCTGTTCCTGCAAGATAGTATGACCTAGTGATAATCAGTTTTGAGAGTTTTCTGATAACCAGTGAGTTTGACATCAAAATCCAGAACAGAAAATCCAGACTTTTGTTTAATTTTATCAGAACCAATCATGGAAAAAGTATGTGCATCATTGATACGCTGACATTACTCTGTAGAAACCTGGTTGTGGACCCAAAAATCAAGGGAGCCTAATGAGGACATTCACTGATACAAAATCTTTTATTTTACATGAAGGTTCACTTTTGGTGTAAGAAGTAGTTTTGTGGGATTTTTATTATTTTACAGCTTGCTTTGTGTATTCTCAGTTCTGAGCTTCATAATGGATTTGCATAATGTGACAGAATGCATCAAGAAGAGCTGTAACTCTGAAGTTTTTATGATTGTTTTCTTATTAGTCTTCTCTCACTTTTTCTTCTCTTTCTAGGGTATTTGGGTCCCCGAAGGAGAAACTGTAAAGATTCCTGTGGCCATTAAGATCCTTAACGAGACCACTGGTCCGAAGGCCAATGTGGAGTTTATGGATGTAAGTAAGAGACGACCAGTGTCTGTGAGGTTTTTTTGCGGGGTGGGGTGGGCGGGGTGTGTCTTTCTGTAGTCCACAGAGACTGTAAAGAGGAATTTCTGCCAGTTTTCTTCCCTTATATTTAAATAGTCGAAGGAGGCTTATACACAGGACCAATACTGTGCTGATACTCAGCAAGTGCTACAATATCATGTCCCTAGAGAAACTCAACTGCTGAGATTTTGTGTGTAGGCCTTTTCCCTCCTTTCCTTAGGCTTTGACCAGCTGTCTTACTATTATCTATATCTATAGCATTGTCTAGAGCAGCAGTGTTCAAACAAACAAACAAAACCAACTAACCAAGGCTACATCTCAGCTGCAGGTAGGTCAGTGCTGCCTCTCTGACGCTGGAGAGCTAGGCAAACCTATATGAGGCAATGTTTAATTGATTGCATGTAGATGATTCCGTTCCAGAACTGTGAAGTACCTGGGCTGCCAGGGTAATGCCAGTGCCATGGTAATGAAGGGCTGGGTTTTTCACTCTGCAGATGTCATGCACCCCAAGATGCTTGGAGTTTTCTTATCAATGGTCCTCCCATCGGTGGAAGGCTGAAACTCCTCTGTCTCAGGTGCCAGTTATTTTATCTTTCCATGGCATAGACGCTAGAGATGAGGGAGAAGATTTGCAGGGGAGCATCTTACCACGTATGTGAGTCTCTGCTGGTGCAGAACTCAAAGAAACAGAAATTTAGCCTCAGCTCTCTTCTGCTTCAGTGTTCATGAGAACTAAGCACTGAGAGTCTGGGGGCTGTCTTGAGCAGCAAAGCATAACAGGGAGGGGAATAAAAACATGCTGGATTTTAAAAGCCTTTTTGCTTTACTAATTTGAAATATTGTTAATAAGAGGTCAAGATCATAATTTTCGTGAATGTTCTACTTTCACAGAGACTCTGCACTCTGTTTTTAGGTCCGTGGCAGGATCAAGCTTCACTGAGACTGTGAATATGTATGTCAGTATTCAGTGGCAATTTTTTGAGAAATAGAAATTTGCACTTTTTTGTAAATCCCTCTTGTGAACTTGAAAATCACTTAGGACTTTTAAGTCTTGAAGTTCTGTTCAGTGTATAGGCTTAATTTGCTTAGCATTAACGAGACTGTAAACCACAAGAAGAATGTACTCCCGTTAAAGAGTCTGTTCTTCCATCTAGAAATTAATATAAAGGCAGAGTTATGGATTTTGTTATTTCAGAAGAATTGCCACATGTGAGTTCTTAGGCAATGGAACAATGGCCGCATAGATACGGTATTTCCTGTGCTTTTTACAGAGCACTGCACATTTATGTTGATAACATTCAGTAATCACTGTGCACAAATAAAAAAAAAAAGGCCATTTTGGCCTTGTTCAAAAGAAATGAATTGCACTAAAGGGATAAAGAGGATTAGATGTTTGCTTAATGGAAAAATAAGAGTCAAGAGTATATTTAATGGTAGAGCTCCAGAAAGAGAAGAGCTGGTGTTCAGCACCCTTTTGAAGTGAACGTGCGGGGAGTGCAAGGGCGCCGAATGCAACCTGCACTCCATGTCTAATGCCAGTGGTCAGCTCAAGATCAGGGAATTGTTATCACTGTATGAAAGTCAGTGGAACTGAGCAACTTGCACCAACTGAAGATCTGACCCCTTATCTGAGAGAGAAATAATAGTAATATCTCCTTCTCTGATAATGATTAACCCCGGAGTGCTCTACAAAGAAAACATGGTCCTTGTTAAATGACAAAGTTCCTTGTCTGAGGTTTCATAGCTGAGCTTGATCAGCTGACTTAATTCACTGGACCGCATTTCTCTCCGGTGTATGCATCATAACACCTGATAAATTAGTCAGAAATCATGAAGGTTTTTGGAAACTCTAGAGATTTTAACTATGTAAGGTACAGGCACACTAGGAAAGGTTTCTCTTTAACAGTTTCTCATGAGTCTCTGACCCAGTGGTAACAAGGTGAGAGAAAAGTTAATGTTATTTTTAGTCCTAGAGGTTAATAAGAACTTAAAGGTTATTCTTAATCATAATAAAAAAGAATTGGACTTCCTTAGTTGAGATAAGTGACAATAAGGAGAAATAAGATGTTTTGTATCAGTGCCACATTTGATATATGTACAGTGATCTGTTACATTCTTTGTTGTCTGTTACATTCTTTGCAGTATGTTACAGGTGTCTCTAACATACTGCATTGATGAAGATGATGGTTTAATTTAATTCTTTTGAAATAATTGCTCATGCAATCATACAGATGTTCTTGTCCTCACCTCCTAACTCAGTCATCTATTTCCTGAAACAAGCCACAGTTTAAAGAGAATAACCTAGGCATTGTTTATGATTTTAATGTGACCACTTCTCTCTGTACCAGAAAGGACATAGGTTAAAATTTTAAAAAGTTTAAAACTATTGTAAGGACATAACTTAAATATCTTTCATTGAAGAGTGAGTTACAGTAGAGAAATGTGGTTTACTTATTCTCACTCCAAGGCTTTGGTCAGTATAACTATCCTGATAAAACTTGATACTGCTTACTTGATAGTGTTGTTTTATAAGGAAAATTTAACCATACATATGAAAGGAAAAAGCATCAGTTGTGATTTCAGTAAAAAGAGTGTCCTGGTTTCAGCCAGGATAGAGCTGGTTTTCTTCACAGAATCCAGTGTGAGACTGTGTTTTGGATTTGGGATGAGAAACTGTTGATAATGTGCTGATGTTTTGGGTTGTTGCTGAGCAGTCAAGGACAGTTCAGCTTCTCATGCTGGCCTACTAGCAAGGAAGCTGGGGGTGCACGGGGAGCTGGGAGGGGACACAGCCGGGACAGCTGACCCAGACTGGCCAAAGAGATATTCCCTACCATACGACGTCATGCCCAGTACATAAACTGGAGTTGGCCGGGGGGCGGAAATCGCTGCTCGGGGACGGGCTGTCGATCGCCGGGGGGTGAGCAATGGCTGTATTGGGCATCACTTGTTCTTGTACATTCCTTTGTTGGTATTATCATTGTTGTTTCCTTCTTTCTTTCTGTCCTATTAAACCGTGTTTATCTCAACCCACGAGGTTTTTTTCCTAATTCTCTCCTCCACCCCACTGTGGGAGGGGGAGTGAGCGAGCGGCTGTGTGGTGCTTAGCAGCCGGCTGGGGCTAAACCACGACAAAGAGTATTATGAATAGTTGTCATTGGTTAAAAGTGATTGTATCAGATTTTTTTAAAGGTATATAGGTGACTAAGTGCCATTATGAACATAGTGTGGGTTAACTCTTAAATAAGTGTTTGACAGTTGGTTATGAATGAGAAGAGTAGGTTAGTGAGAGGGAGGGGTCTTTATGTGAGTCACACCCTTGACTTTCCTTTTTTTGTGCTTGTCAAGTACAGGTGTGCTTTTGTCAGCAAGTACTTCTTACTCAATTGTGTATGTCCTTGTACTTGCAAGTAAAACTTAGCATTCCTTTTAGAGAGGCTCTGGAAAACTTAAAGGCTCTTGTAAACAGCGGTTTGTGTACGAAGTACTTGGGACACCAGTGTCTACAGAAATAGCTGGTATAGCTGTTAGTGGCATTGTCCATAGGCTCTGGTTTAAAACTTCTAATGTTGGCAGAATGTAAGTCTAAAAGTGGTCTGCGAGCTCCTGAAATTCTGTTAAATGTTATGCTAAAAGAGTAAAGAACAATAATTTGGCTACTGGGCTGTCATTTCAGTACCTTGAGCACCCACTAATGGATCTGTAATGACTATAATGATATAATGCATGATGTTAGCACCTGCTATGTCCAAACACCTCCCACCCTCCTCCCATCAGGGGATGATGAATTGGCCATCATCAAAAAGTACATCCCCTCTTTGGAATTTTTCTTCGGGGAGTTGCAGCAGAGTCTACATTCCGGGCTTTCTCCACACATTCCTAGCTAGCTCTTTTTCTTCTAGTCTGCTCCCTGCTTTCTTACGTGGTTTTTATCACTGCAGTAGTCCGTGTCTGTTATAACAGTGCAGGCTTAAGTCTACTAAGTAACCCATACCACCTTCTCCAGGGCAGAAGCAGAATGTAGATGCGGACTTCTGGATTTGTTGTCGCTCTGCAGAGGTGGTGGTTACTGTTTTGTAAAGTGTAGGTTTACCTTTTTTCCCCACGTATTTCTCAGTACGTATTATCTCTAGATTGATTTCACAGTCTAAAGAATTTCCTCTCAGGTGTTGAAACAGTTAGGTGTTTAAGGTGTGGGGCATAGTTTCTCCTCCCTGCTCGGCTGGTCACACTGCCATCGTCCCCAGAAGGGCGCTGGAATTTGAATTCAGAGTGCAGGTGTTCTTGCTACTGTTCTGCCTGGAAGCGTGTCTGGGACGGGAGTTGCCTACAGAGGCAAGTGGTATCAGAAGGGAAGGATACCCTGCTCCTCACCCTGAGGCTAGTAACAGAGTATATGAGGGTGCTGAGAGAAGAGGAAGGCTTGTTGTGAGGAAAAAAGGCAAATATGCAGCTGAGAGGCTACTTGGTAGTAGAACAGGGACTTTATAATTTCACTTGTGAAAACAATTTCCCCTCCTCAGCCTCAAATTACTCGACTGTTATGATTGTCTGATAAGTCAAGTAGCCATTGGCCTGATCAGATGGTTTAACATCAAACCAGATGCTCAGCTGAGAATGTAATACATTCCAAAGTCATGCTGCGGTTGGAAAGCATAGCAAACCATCTTTGAGACTAGAATGAAAAATATCTTTAAACCAACTTGTCATGAGGTAACAGACAATTGATGAGGGCCTTTCTCCTCTAGTCCTCTAAGCTTGATGTTTCCAGGAAGTAATCTTGTAAGCTGTGATTCTGTGCAGGGTTTTGATCCACTTACGAGTTTAATCTGTCCTCTCTGAACTTAAAGGCTCCATTATCTGTTAGAAAATAATTAGAGGCTGCAAGCACAAGTCTGCATACACAGAGTTCCTTGGGAGTCCCTGAGCTCATTGAGATGAAGACAGTTTGACTGATGGTGGTCAGC